AGCTGGTTTTCCTTTGATAGAAAACTTTGAACCTTTAATCTGTTTGATCTGATTGATCTAGATCTATAAAGTGACCTGAGATGACGTGTTGAAGACTGGGGGATAGAACTAACCTGAATAGAAATGTCCTGATTAATGGAAGCCAGCCCTTCTTACCGTACAGGTTTCCCAGCAGCGTTTCCAGCTTGAATCCAGTGAAATTAGCGGTGGTGGGAAACCTGGGCTCCGTCCCGTTCACCTGAGGGCCGAAGGCGCTGGAGCTCGGCAGCACGATTGTTCTTGGATGCACCACAAAGAAGCTAATGAAGATCATGACCAGGACGAAGATGACCACTAGGAAGATGACGAAGGTGGCCTTGGCGTAGATGTGGGCTCCCACCAGGCACACCAGCAGGCAGAGCAAGGCCACGCCCGTGGCGTACAGCAGAGACCACCAATAGCCTGATGGCAGGATCTGATGCGCGCTAGGAACCACAGACGGATCTGAAACGACACGTGAGGAGCTGCAAGACTTAGATGTTTGGATAAGAGTGAGTCTCTGGTGGGACGTTTCCACCATCGTCCTGCAGGACGATCACATCTGGTCACTAAATGCAGGAGGAGACCTGCAGTTATTCCTCCTCAGTCTAACGAGTCTCTATATCTGCTGAGTCACAGGAAGACCAGGAAATGAACCTTCAAAGCAGTGAAGTTAGGGAACCACCTTCTCTGATCCACAAAGACCAGAACGAAACGAAAAAAATTAAAATCAATGAAACAAGAAGAAAGAAAATCAGCTTTCATCTTTAAAGACTGTTGCCATGGTGATGGAAGAGGAGAAGAACGGATGGTTTTTCACGCCTTTGTTCTGTCAGACCAGCGAACTTATAGTCAACAGCGTGCGCAAGACGTCACATTTACGTTTATCCCTTTAGATTTAAACGAAAAATAGACTTTAAACTCCCTAAACGGGCGTTTATCCCTTGAGATTTAAACGAAAAATAGACTTTAAACTCCCTAAACGGGCGTTTATCCTTTTAGTGTTGGAAAAAAAAACTATTTAAGGTCAGATCGTCGTACGCTTCATAAAAACTATAAGGATAAACTAAAGGGATAAATTCTCTCTCTGCTTTTTCTATAAGCAGCTTGATCTGGCCTGTTTTCCAGTGTAGTCCTGTTTCTCTGACTGTGACTAACTGGATGTGCTCTCTTCATCCTCTGACATGGGAGCTGGCTCNTTCCACCTGAGCTGTGGATCACTGCAGCTCCTCCACACCAACCACAGCGCTGCCTCCTGTGGTTTAGCTGTGTCCCTTCAGGACTCATTTATTCTTCATAACAAACTGAACCGTTATGCAGCGCTTCGTTGCCTTCATCACATTAAATCTCCCCAAAAAAGAAAATATGATGAAATTTATAGTTTAAATCTGACAAAATGTGAAGAAAATCCAAATAGTTGAAGGTGCTGCATCCCGGCAGAGGCAGAGGCTCTTCTGAGCACAGAGCCGCCGCCGCCGCCGCTGCCGCCGCCGCAGGGTAAATCATGGCCGTATCGATCTCCAATGCGCTTTTTTTCACCTGTCATGTCAGTTTAGCGCCTCAGCAACATTCGCCTTTAAGACTCCATCAATAAGAGAGTCCGGCGCTCAGCGGTCAGAGAGGAGAGAAAATACGAGCAGCTGGAGCTTCGCTACTGAGAGCTTTACAAGCAGGAAAACTTCTTAAATTTTTTAGATTAAATATAGATTAATCCTGACTTTTAATGAATTGTTGATCTGAATCATTTTATTGTTCTTTGACTCACCGACACGTAGAGGGAGGAATGGCCGACAGGTTAGAGCAGAGCTCTGCTGTCAGAAGGTCGCTACTACCAGCTTCCATCCCCACTGCCTGCACTCTGGGTCCCTGAGCCTGACCCTTAACCTGCTCCCTGGGCGCCGCTCCATGGCGGCCCACTGCTCCCCAGGGGGAGGGGTTAAATGCAGAGAGGGAATTTCTCCAATGTGATTCAATAAAGTTCAGTTATTATCATTATAGATTTCAGCTGCTTTAAAATCACTATTCTGGATTCATTTCCTGGTTGGCTGCTTCTTTGCTGCCTGGTTTCCAGATGCGCTCAGCCTTTCTTTGCCAACTGATCCTCCATGGATGTCAGCTGTTCTCCCAGTTTAAGAAGAACTTCTAAACTTGATCAGACGGCAGGAACCGAAGGTGGAACCGACGTTAACTAAACCGTCTTTAGGAAACCGTAGAGGTTTCTGAGCCGCCGCAGTAAAACCTGCAGAGGTTTGGGATCTAAACTAAACATTCATGGGATTCTGGTGGATTAATAACAATAATAATGAACTACAGTGTTTACTAAGAATAATGCAACTGTCTTTATTTAAAAAGGGAAAACTGATTAAACTGCTTCAGACACCAGGTGGCGCTGCAGCAGCTGCAGAGGGAGGGATGGTGTTTACTGACCGTTCGCAGGAGCAGGCCACCAGGAGGCTCAGCAGGTTGTAGATGATGAAGGTGAAGATGACGGCGGTGATGGTGCCGCGGGGGATGGCGTAGCTGGGGTTCTTCAGGTCACCTGGGGGGGCAAACAGGCTCAGCCTGAATAATCAGAACCTCATCGGTGATGAACAGCAGAAGAAGACACAGAGGGTCAGAGGAATGGCGACCGGCTCTGCAGATCTACAGGATTATAGTTGGATTAGCAAAACCTGAGCAGCAGAACTAAAGCTTAATGGAAACCAGTGGAATGCTGGGAAGTTTCTCAATTTAGTCCAACAACTCAGAGTTTTCCCAAACCGTCTGTGTGATTCCGTCTTTACTCCACAGCAGGGAAATCTGATTCCAGCCTGGAGGACGGTAACCAGCAATATATGGTAACGAGCTGGTCTGTCCAATCACAGCCTCCTTCCATAACACCCATTCATCCATTTTCTTACATGCTTAATCCCACTCACTGATTGGAGGAGGGCGGGGCTAAAGCTGCGCTCGCTGATTGGAGGAGGGCGGGGCTAAAGCTGCATTCTCTGATTGGAGGAGGGAGGGGCTAATGAAGAAAATGAAGTCTGAAACTGAAAGGTGTTGGACTCCCTAACAGGTGAGGACCTACCTGACATATTGGAGCCGGCCATGATGCCGGTGCAGCCGTTGAACATCACGGCGAACACCGTGGCGAAGGTCATCATCTTCCCTGTGGTGTAATCCTCAGTGTAGCCACCTACAAAATGGACGACAACATGACGCCATCATCATCAGGTTAGACCATCGTGGTTAGAAGCTGCTCTGCTGATCCAGAAACACTGATCTATCTCTATAGTTCTGCTGCTATAGGCTTAGACTGCTGGAGGACATAGGGACCCCTTTTTCATCATTCTGCTAATTCTATCTCTATAGTTCTGCTGCTATAGGCTTAGACTGCTGGAGGACATAGGGACCCCTTTTTCATCATTCTGCTTCATTCTATCTCTATTCTNTGTTTGCCAGTTTTGGGTACTCTAGCCAAGCTGAGTTTTGCTGTGTCAAACTGAGTTTTGTCACCTGAGTCTTAATCTTGTTGTTTTTGTATTTGCCTCTTGGCAGGAAGTCATCCTGCAAACTGGATGTTTTGGACCTTCTCCCCCCTCAAAGGATTCTCTGTGCATCAAACTGAGCTGAGGATTCAAACTGGTGGCTTGGATCTACTTTTCCCCAAGGATTGTTTGGGCTTCACACTGAGCAGGGGATTCATCTCCACAAGAAACTGTTCAAGTACCGCAGAAAATCTAAGTGGCAGTCAGCTCATCAGTTCCTCAAGGAAACACCTCAACCTGGTTAAACCCTGTCCTATTGCCTGTATTCCCTTCTTCAATCAAAGATACAAATTTCCCACTGAGTCTGAACTAACCGCAGAATCTTCCCCTTCACATTTCATTCCCGGTTCGACATTGTTCAGAGCAGCACTGGGCTCCTCTCTACCAATTCACAATAAAACCTGTTAAACTTTTCCCTGGTCTCTCTGTTTTGTTTTCTGCATGTGGGTCAGATCTTTAGATAAAATCATGACAAAAACAACAGGAAGCGTGGAGCTCTGGATCTACGGCCCGCAGTGGCTGCAGCGTGGAGGCCCAGCACCACGCAATCACTGAGCCTCTGGAGGAGAAAAACAAAGGTAAGTGACAACGATCATCTGATGTGAGATGGTTACCAGTGTGAGTAACTTACGTGTTGTACCAGTTCAGTCCATCCTCTAAGACAGGGATGTCAAACTGGTTCCAGAAAGGGCCATGTGGCTGCAGGATTTCTTTCCAAGCAAGCAATAGCCCGGCCCTTTCTGGAACCAGTTTGACACCCCTGCTCTAAGAGGAAGGCAGGATCCAGCTGATGGACTGCCAAATAAGCTGCAGCGCAGAGCTGCCCAGAGCAGCAACCCCAGTCAACCGGCAGGAATCCAATCCAGGTCAGGGAAAACAGATCAGACAGAAAAGTTCTAGAATCCAGGAGTCAGCCCAGTCAGGGGTTCCGATTCACACAAGAACAGACAGATCGGGGTTCCAAGAATCCACAGAGTGTGAAGGCAGGTTCAGGGTTCCATGAGTCCTGCAGCGAACTCAGGCAGACACGCTCAGATGCAGACAAGACATGGTACCAGGATAACTGCAGAACTTTCGACTATACTCCACATAGGAGCCAGATAAACTAGCTTCAACTCCACTGAGCCAAAATGGAACAGAGAGCAGGAAAGAGCCAGGACACGATCAGGATACAGGAGACAAACACCAAAACCCTCTCAACTCACTGGCCTCTGGGGACAGGGACATGAGCCTTGGAATAACCTAAACTAACAAACTTACAAGATTATCTGGCCCCAATAGCTGGGCTGACCCGTATATAGAGCTGAACGAGCTGTACTTCAGTGTTATTATTTAAGATGCCATTATTTAAATTGTTGCGTGGAGAAGATTTCGATTGCTGTTTATAGTTTAAGAAGTTGTTCTTCTTCTTCTGTTTCCGGAGGGGCATTACCGCCAACTACTGGAATGGAGTGTGAATCGGTATGTGCAGCCAGACGGAGATGATGCGATCTGCTCATGCTCATGCGCTTTTGTTATCAGAGAACCAAGCCAGGGAAAAACCGAGCCGAGCCCAACTCTGGAACTGGTCTCCAGTTATCTCGGTTCAGTTGTGTAATGCTCTGTTCAGTTCAGTTTGCTTTCCATTTACACACGATAAGTTATCTCAGTTACTAAGCTTGGACCGGTCTCGGCACGGTTTTTCAAGGGTAGTGTAAATGGGGTATTAGAAACCCCTAATCTACCTTATGGTTAGATATTTGTCTGAAGCTTTTTTTTTTTGACAATGGTGCTTAAAGTCTCACTGAATGGTTCATGATTGAATGTTATGTCAGATATAGTTTACAAACAGTCTAATCCTTATGTGAATCCCACAGGTACCGTTTTTCATCTGTTTAATCCTTTATTTAAACATAGATATTTCTTGATACATGGTGTATCATTTATAAGAGCGACCCGTTCTACGACTTTTTTCTGTCTCTGTCTGTTGTGAATATTCCAGATTTCTGCTCCATTAGTATCTTCATAGCAGCTGCATTAATTGAGCTGCAAATGAAGTTATTGATTGTTAACAATTTCTAGCTGATTGTAGTTAATATTTACGGCCAAATTGTGACATGGTTTGTTTTTCTTCTCTTAAATATAGGATTCAAAACATCACCAACTTCCAAACAGACCAGTTCAATATCTATGAGCTTCAACCATCAGTGTTGGGGCGCTATGTCACTCTTTTCATACACAAACACCAATATATGATTATTTGTGACATACACATCACCGGCACAAAGATTGGTATGTGATCCCTGTTTATAAACTCTCACCATACAAAGGCTTAGAATTAGTAATGTATTGGTTTGAGGTATTTTATTCTGGGTAGAATCTCTGTCTGGTGTCCTACTAACAAGTGTGACAGATAAGTGTTTGAGAAAGTTACATTTTTTTGACTGAGGAGCACAAATGCTTCCAAAAAAACTGATTTAGTTTCTTCCTTTTCTTAATTAATCACAGAATTTATTGGACCCTCCAAGAAAATGTTGTTTCAAAATGTTTATAGGTTTGTGCCTCCCAAACTTTATTTAACCCAAGTTTGGCCTTTTCTCTGTTTAAGAATCACTTTTTGGACTAATTACGGAAAACAAGACCAGGGAAGAGGCCCTGTACCACTGCAGAGATAACCACAGAGATCTGGCCTCCATCCTGGATCAACAGATGCAAGCCTTTGCTGAGCTGGAGGCTGAGAAGGCCAACAGTCCCTTCATATGGCTCGGCCTTCATTACACCTGCACCCTGGACTTTTGGTTCTGGGTTGATGATCATTTTGTGTATTTCGAATGCTGGGCTAATGGTGCCTAAGATGAGGACTGTGACCTGNCCCTGAAGTACGCTGAAACACTCTGAAATACACTGGAGTACCCTGAAGTACGCTGAAACACTCTGAAGTACGCTGAAGCAGGCTGTAATTCACCAAAGGAAACCAGATGGGTTCTGTTCTTCCTGCCATTGGTTTTATTCTAACGTAGAGAAAACATAGAACTAAGGTAAACAGAGCGACTCCTGGAAGCTCTCAGCTTCAGTCTGATCCAAAGCATCAGGAAGCAGAAAGCAGGAAATCTGCCAACATGCTGGAGATAAAGAACGTCAGACTGATCTGCTCCATGTCTGCCTCCTCCTCCCTGCATCAGAGGATCCTGGTTTCAGCCTCAGCCCAGCCTGACTGACTGACTGACTGACTGACTGACTGACTGACTGCGGCTGGTTTCCAGGGGATCAGTGGGGAACATGCAGACTGCCATGGCGGTCTGCACCGCGCCCAGACGGCCGATAATGTCCCTGCACTGACTGTCACATGCAGACGCTCACATGACGGCGTGTGAGCAGGATACAGTAGGCCCCTCCAGCGTCCAGCGCTCCGTTGGTGGAGATGGCGCACACCGACAGCACCGTCATGGAGATGATGAAGTAGGCAACCAGGAACATCAGAATGCTCTGGTACAATCCAGCGTGTCCGACCACGAAGCCTGGAAAACAAAACACACAAAAACCAGCAGTCAGTCTCTGGGGCGGGGGAGGGGGGGCTGGACCCAATCTGAGCTTTAACTCAGAACAACAGATCAGGTTCCTTCAGTCTGATGACATTCCTGCTCTGCTGAAGTCAAACTGGACTCACAGGTCAGAAGGTTCCAGAGTAAAAACCGTCAGCGAGGCAGACACCCTGTCTACTTTAAGGCTAGGCTTAAAACTTTAGCTTCTAGTTAGAGTGGCTCAGGTTATCCTGATCTATCTCTATAGTTCTGCTGCTATAGGCTTAGACTGCTGGAGGACATAGGGACCCCTTTTTCATCATTCTGCTTCATTCTATC